ATTATGTGGGACGTCGTCAACAGCTATCGTTTTGCTTTAGATTGAGACTATAATAAACACACTCTTACTATTCGCCAGTGCTAAGTAAAATGTAAAATTTCCCACTTATACATTCATACTTATAAATTACTTATATATCATGCTTGCTTATACATGCTTACTTATGCATGCATACTTATATATCATATGCCACATTTCTTATCATGTACTTTAATACTGAAATTTGAAATTCAATTTGCTTTTAAATATAATCATGTGCACATATTTATTCAATGAAAATTAAATCATACAGCATAATTACACAACATGTGATATATTGCAAACATATGAATTTACGAAGGTTACAGAACATCAGCTGAAATATTCATCAAATTTTTCTTTAAAACATTTTCAAATCATTACAAGCATTTAAGAATAAGAGAGATAGAGCTGTTTGAATAACATCCAAAAAACTTAATAATTGAAACATAAAACTTAACATAAATATTTCTATGTTTTAATTTATTTCTAACAGAGTTTCACAAATATATATCAATCGAACTAACAATAAACAGTATGATTAATCGTCCCCCTTTACTATACATTCATCAAATAGTCTACATTTTGTCTATACATACAAAGTGAACTTCATTAACTTTATAATACTTTAGTAGCTCTTTGCTATCATATGAAAGAGAATTACTCGTGCAAATTGTAAACGGTTTTAAAAGGGTACATGAAGCATGAAAAGGAGCAATTCAGTTGGATAATTAAGTTTGTATTTATTACGTAAAATACAATAGCTTCATTTAGACTTAAAATACTCTATAATTGAAAATTAATACTAAAACATTGTTGCAAGTTATACATTTATCTTATTTAATTTGTCATATATAAATGCTAATGAGAAATAAATTGTTGCTATTTACTATTTCTGAAAGTATGAACTATTTGCTACATGAATGCAGTTGGACATTCAGAATAATTAGTTTTAATTGAAATGGTATTCTCTTGAATTTAGTGTAGCAATAACGATACATATAATATTTGAATCCTAAATTTTGGATAAAATAGGGAGAAAACGTATCAATAGTAGAATAAGACAAATGAACCTTGAAATATTTTGTGTAAAATACATGAAAGTAAATGCAAAGTGGAATTTTTCCTGTAAACTAGTGATAAATAAATGTAAATAATTCTATATTTGTGTGCAAATACTGTAAAATTCTATCTATAAAAACAAATATGAAAAAAACATTGTAACTACTCTTGTTATTAATAAGTGGATGTTCCAAGCAGTAGAAGCCCCCTCTAGCGAGCACATATTTCAGTGGAGGCCAAGACAATGTGGTCGCTATGAAAAATGGCCCATGTTCCTTCCCCATAAAAAAAGAGATAAAGATATGTGGTATCTTTGTATGTGCGATATGTTCAAGATATGTGTGTTGTCTTTGTGTAAATTACTGTTACACAAAAGAGACACTTTTTTGAACCCAACTCAGAATTTACTACATTTAGTTTAATTTTTAGCGTCCAAAACTCTACAACATTAAGTAAAAAAGTAACATGTAGAACATTAAGAAACATTTGAAGAATTGGTATACCTAAATAACTAAAAAAATCCTTTAGTGAATAGTAATAAATTAGTAAATGTGTTCAGTTTAAAAACAGAGAAATTTTATTCAACAATCTAACCTAAAGTATTTAATCAAAGTATACTTAAGAGCTAGACAAATTCCTTCTGGTTGCTACAAAATGCTTATTCATGAATTCTTTACTTAAAAAAGATCATTATTGGTGGAATTTCACACAAAACATTTTTCAGTTCTGTCTAAAAAAATTTCCGTAATCGAATTAATTTAAACAAAAACAAATACTTAAAAAGTATTTCCAAACATTCATAAAAATGCACTTTTTTTTTAAAAGCAGAGCATTTACACAGGCAACTTCTTCATTTTGATTCTTTACGAAATGAAAATCTTAAATTCAAACTAATTTCACAAATTAATCTTATTTTTCACAACCTTAAATTTAAACTAAGAAAAGAAAGCAGAAATGTTTTATTAAAAATTATGAAATCTCTATTTTTCTAAATGTATAGCTACAATTCTTCACTTTAAAAAAGTCTAAGTTGTTCAACTTTAAGCCACTTCCGCCATTTTGTATTATTCTTTACAATCGAATAAACCAAAAAACGACGAGAGAAAAAACGGTCACAAATAGAAAAAGTTCTTTTTTCAGACGGAGACTTAACCACTTTTGCTTCTGATCTATATGAACTCCTACACTCACAGAACAATCTTCCATTTATTTTACCATTGGATGAAGTCGCCAAATCTGTTATTGACAGCGAAAGGCAAAAAGAAAATGTACCACACTGTGAGGGGGAAACAAAAACAATGATGGTAAAATAAAGTAGAAAAAAAAACGGGCCAAGCCAACGCTGGGGAGTATTCAATTTTGCTTTTGAGGGGTCATTCAGTTTACCAGAAAACTATTTCTTAAAAGTAATGATTTGGGACTTTGATAGAATTCGATCCAACAAATTAAATAGTTATAAAGGGGAAACTATTAATTGTTTTTGTGTTTGATTCAATTTTGATGTCGAGCGATTTTCGTTTAATAGCTATGAGTAAGAAAGTTTTGTTTGAAGTGTATTTCGCTTACTTCTCTCTCTCTCTCTCAGTGTGTAATCAGTAGATATTCGATTCAGAATTGTTATTTAAGTTACTGAAATGTAAGGATGTACTTTGATGATTTTTTTTTAAAGTTCACTTTATACTGTATGTTTCAGCATAATTAAATTACCTTAAATATACCCATTTACGTCATTTCAAGTTGTAAAACAATACAAGTGTGGGGGACGCATCTTTGAAATTGTCTTTCATTGTAAAGTAATTCGTAATATATTTTCGTAAGGATATGTGAGTAGGCTTCAATATTTTCATGTTGGGCGCTGTAGACTTCTTGCCAAGTTCACGAGCAAGTGGCTGGTATATCATGAGTTCGAGCCTAATACCACTGAGGACTCGCCGTGCAGAGGGGAACCGATGAACGTTAAATATGTCGAGGCCCAAAGTTCTCCCGTTGGCGTAGTGTGGAAGTTAGGAAAGGGGGTGCCAGCTAAAGTGTCATCATTGTCACTTGACCATGGTTTAAAATGATGTTCGTCATCAATGGTCTTCGTGCAGCTTCAACCCTTTAAAGGGCACACAGCTGAAATACACTTTTCTGTGGTAAAGTACTTGATAAATGTAATGTTCTCATCCTCTATAAACATTATTTAGTCACAAAAAAATATCTGATCAGGAGATTTTTTCCTGGGTGGTGGTTAGACGTTATAGCCACTGCGCACTTAGAACAATTAACTTTCTTTTCAGAACAGAAATAATAAATCATATTACAATAAAATTTTTATGAAAAATTAACATTTATGTGTATAACATATTTCAATAACAATTAAATACAAAGTAGAAGTGTAGTAAAATAAAAATAGAATAATCAATTGTGCAGCTTAGAATATTAACTTTGAATATGCATAGAAGCTTAGAATATACATTGAAATTAGTATATATCCACATTTTGAGTTTTATTTAGTTTTAGTATAACAAGTTAGAAATAAAGTATAATATTTTTGAGGATTTAAATTAGTTATTTCACAAATTTGATGAGCTATTTACTGTGGAACTTTATAATATGCAAACGTTTTTTCCGAGCAGAAAAGCTGTAATGAAATATTTTCGAACCCAAGAAACTTGTACCTATATTGTAAAGAATGTTTGTTTATATTTCCGGTCCCCAACATTCTCACATGAATCTAAATGCTCTCTCTCGAGTGGAGAAAAAGCAAAAAATTCTAGGCCATTTTTCTGTTCTATGTGGGCAGTGGATAGAGCCTCTTTCCACATATAAAAAAACTTTCCAAAAACCTAAATAAAATATCTTTTTTTAATTGCACATTTACTTAATTTATTCATATAAGAGAAAAGTATACATAAGATTTGTCGAATTTTTTTTCACTGATCAGAAATTTTATTTAAAGTAATCAAAATTTACTTTGTAGATTTACACCGAGAAAAAGGGTTTCTAACTACTCATCAGAGGACATGAAATGCAAAAAAGGTATCGTGCTGCCATCTGTATTGATTTTCATACGTTTTATCTTCAATTAACGAATGTGGATAGACTAAATACCCACCACCTGCTTGGAGAAAAATGTTTTGTTATGTGGCTAGACCTGTTAGCCACTGCCCACAAAAGGGTTAAAGTGTGGCATAAGTAAACTCTTACTCAAGTTTTGATGATTTAACCACCATCACCTCTCTAAATAGCAGGCCTTCACAGGTTCCAAGCCGGGGAGCCTCTATGGAAAAAACATTGTGATCACAAGTTCAGTGGTGAGTGGTAGTAAACTCTTGACCAGAAATGATTCCTGTGGGAGCGAATTCGACTACCGCCGGTCACAACGTTTCGTTTCCGTAAAAAAGACAAAAGCAAATTAAGGACACATAAGAAATAATAAATTAACATTAAAGTAAACAAGTAATATGTGTGTGTGAACAAAAAATTAAGTCAATTCCAACTTAGGACAACAAAGAAAAAATTTATTATTGTTACTTTTTATTAAATGGTTACAATTAATATAAATATGTATATACGTATGACAGAATCACAATTATGACAAAACAGGAAGCGAATTTCCTTGCAATTTTCCATTATCCCTTTTATATTGGGTGTTGGACAATTTTTTGTTACTATCTATTCATAAATTAGATTTAATTATTCTAATAAAATAGCATTGTAAAACGGAAATCATATTTTCAGAAATCATGCCATCCCAGGTGGGATTCGAACCCACGACCTTTGGATTAGAAGTCCATTGCACCGCAGGAAAAATTTTTCTTTCTATATATGCTTTTGGACGAATTTTTGTTTGATACAATTTATTCATAAATTAAATTTAATTATTCTAATAAAATAATATTGTAAAAAAAGAAATTATATTTGCAGAAATTATATGCCATTCTAGGTGGTATTCGAACCCACGACCTTTGGATTTGAAGTCCACGTGCTGTCCATTGCACCACAGAAATAATTTTTCTTTCTATATATGCTTTTGGACGAATTTTTGTTTGTTACTATTTATTCCTCTTTTAATTTAACTAATGAATTAACATTTGAAAAAACTGCATAACTTCAGTGGATGTTTAGAAAGTAATTTATTAATTATTGAAAATTTGAACAAGATATATATAGGGAGAGAGTAAATATATAATAGTAGAAATTGAAAAAAAGAGAGGAAATAACTAAATCATAGCTTGTTATATAGCAATTTCTAAGGGCTAAAGAGTTTATAAAAGTCACAGTTTTATAATGTTTTATTAAATCTGTGTTCCATCTATTTCCATTCATTACTAAAATATTTCTTATCATTAACAATCGTTATTTGCGTGTAAGACATTAACAATCTACCCCTTCGTATAAAACATCCATTATGAATCATATAGAACAAAGGAAAATAGAATTTACGATGTCTTGTATTCCTTTTCAAACGATACAAAGTCGAATTCAGTGTCATTAGTTGAAATTCTGCCCATGTATAAACATGTCTTCCTATTGTAATACCTTTCTTTGGGGCACTGGAGAATTCTAGAGTTCTAGATATAGAACTAGTTATTTTGATAAAATGGAAATAAATCGCGATTTTTTTCTGTCAATTTTCCTTTTAACTGGCATGAAAGTGCTTATAAATGATTCAACAGGGTTAGATTCCATCGTTTTTCAATGAATCAGATGAATCCACGTGATTCTAAAAAGGGTTTAGTTCATGAGTAGATTTTTAAGAAACCTTTAATCATATTTAGAGTACTGTTAAAGGATTTTATATATGTATTTAATTGGATTTGGGTTCAAAATTATTACCCGAGTGAATTGATTATATGTGTAATAAAATGTTATTACTGTTTAAACCATCTCTTGAGGAATCTATAAAACTATAGGTTTCCCATAGAATTTAGAACGAGAATTGTGAAGGAAATTAGATTTATTGTACTACTATTAATGAAGCGTGCCAATGGAAAGATAATTCTCTAATAAGTAATTAATTTATAAACGTTTGATAAATATAAAGTAAATGTGTAATGTCGAGATACCTAGTTAACAATGCATTACAGAAAAAAATAGCACATTAAATTGGGTATAGAATGTATTAGTAATATTAACTGTAGCAGATTCGTGTCTTGTTGACCTTTCACAAAATGTGTGTGTTAAAAGCTATAAAAAGCAATTATATGAAAATTTTAATTGAAGGTGTCAGAGATCACAAGCCATAAAATTGGCAAATTTCTCCACTTTTGATATTTATCAAATTAAGTTATTGTGTTATGAATGTTTTGACTTTTTGAAAATCTCCAAATACTGTAATTTTTTTTACTTTCATTTTCCATGCTATTTTTTCTCTGCTTATTCGTATTTTTAAAAAAATAACTGTTAGTTTATGAGGATTATAATTCACTTATCTTTTTATAAGCGTAATAAAAAATAAATAAACATTCCATAAAAGCTATATTTATGTCTTATAAATGATACTATTTGATTTAAAGCAAGTTTGAAAATAAAAACATACTTTTGTACTCTTAGTACAATATAAACACAATTTTCTACTGGGCATCAAATTTAGATAAAAATCATATCTCCTTCTCTCTTATAAAAATAAGAGAAACACGACTTACTCCATCATCACGAGATCTCTAGAACTATTAGACCTACTGACTTGAAATTTGACAAACATGGTCCTTTTATAGAGTAGAAATCCGCTAATAATGGTTTTGGCGAGAATCGATTGCCAAGAGGGCTACAGGTGTTCTATAGATAAAAAAATCCGTTTTTTGAACAATTAGACCTATAAACTTGAAATTTCGCTTGCATGTTACTTTTGTTGAGAAGATAAAAATATTTTTCAATACAATAATGGACTAAAAAGAATTCATAGTGTTATGTATTTATGTATTGAATGTATATGTCATGAAACACCTAGCAAAGAGGGCGGGTAACGGTTAGTACCTAATAAAAGAATTCTCACGCAACAAATATATTTTCTGTATTATAAACATATCATGTATTACTGATTTTAGTGGGTTTAATAATAGATGTAATAATTTTGAAACAGAAGACGTTGTTTGAAGATACAACGAAGAAAAATAACTCAAACAAGCACATTAAGACGATTTACTCTTCTTCACATTTCCATTAAAATGCATTTATTGCTATACATGTCGAGCATAAAGCTATTTTTACATCATTCACGATACCTTACGTTGCACATTTTAGGATAAATCATGTACATTGTCAAAATTATATTCCATCAGATATTCAATGATAAATGCCTTTGCATAACTTGCTTAAACTACTGAATCATTACTAGGGGCAAAGCTTAACTTTGATGAATATTTTGACGATAATCTTTGTTCTAAGAATTATGATGCCCCGAAAACAAAGAACTCTCACGACGAGGAAGCAGTTTTGCCACCAGGGGCGTTAAGCAGTCATTGCCAAACAATCGAAAAATTCTATCACGGCCAATACAAAAAAATTCGAATGCTTATCTTTAGTTTTGCTGTTCTCTTATATATACATATTTATTATGTACTATATATATCATGAACATTGTCAATTATGAACCGTGTTTCTCTTTTATCTTTATACTTTTACTCACCTGACCAGTCGGAACGTTTGAGGCTTGTTGAGCAGATTTACTGCTCTGAAAATATATAAACAAAAATATGCTTCCGCCATTTGTAACATGCCAAAAGTGAATGGATTGTCGAAGATAATAAATGAAATAAGAATGTGCATCTACACGTTTTGCTTCCAGTGGACACGTTCGTTTTTTTTTATTTGTTTTACAATTGAATTATTTTGAAGGGTTTTTTTCGATGTTTATAAAGTTTTGTTTAGTTCTCTGAGATGAGCCAATCACGGAGAAAAGTTTTTCTTCTCGATCGAATTGATTAACTTTGTAAGCTGCAAAATTGATGATCTTGCTCTAAGACATTCACGACTTTATTTTCGAAATGCTTTGTTGTGTTTGCTAATGTATAACACCGTAAGCGTAATGAATACTTAAATAGTTAGCTAATTTAATAATTTCAAGGTGATTAAAAGAAGGGCCTTTTATTTTTCGAGCGTGACCAGCATAATTAGCGACAATTAATCATACTGAATAACGATTTTGAAAAGTTTTTTTCTTCGTATAGGTTTGCTTCTAAAGCGGTCTACCACCTATTTTAAGAATTAGAATTCCCGTTCAAAGATAAATTTTTTTAATAACGATGCATCATGACTTGGCTTGAAAATTCTTATTTAAAATGAAGGTTTTAATATACAAAATACTATAAAAATATCTTTTAAATTAAAGTCTGAAAATTAATTTAAGTGTGTGTTGTTTCGGAGTACTCTGAGCATTATTTACAATGCTACTATACCTGTTGGGCTGTGCTTTCAGTTTGTGATATCGTGTATAGGGCTGAAGCTTGTTAAACCATTTGAGATTAAAAGTCCTTACGTTGTCGTGTTGTGGGAATTTGGAGATTGGGATGCTGGCTTACGATTCGTTCTCCTCTCTTGAACTTAAAACAAATTCAGTCGCCAAAAGTCACCAGGTTTCTTCGGTACTTACGTATTATCGCAACCTGTTGGCGACATTATATGAAACGAAGCATATGGGTGCCAATTCAGCATGTACGACACATAGGAAATGTCGGTTGCCAACTTGGTGAGTTATTAATAGAGTTGTCGATTGTTGCGACAATACGTAAATACCATTTCTTCTTAATAAGAAGTCAGTGGCATTTAGTTTACGTCCTCCAAACAATAATAAGGAGTTTTTTAAATAAGACAGAGAGTAGACCCTCTAAATATTATTTATTTTTTATTTTCGTCAACACATAAAAGTATTTATTTCGTAGCATAATCGTACATATATTCATCTTCAAAGAATAACAACTACCAGAAATAAATTTAAAAGTAAAATTTGGAGATTTATTTATGTTTTATTGCTTTGCTTATCCCACACATATGTAATTTTTACAATTTGATTAGTAGTTTACTCACTAAAAGTAGCAGAAAACGCAAGAATAGTGTAAGATCTTAAAGTTTTACATTAAAATAACAATTAAGGATGATTTGGATATAATATTAAGTAAATTGTGTCATATGGCAAAATTATGATGCATAAACTTAAATTTATATCAAATACTCGTCAGTTTTAACAAAAACACTCGCAACGATACTAAACTGATATGAAATTGAATATATTTTTATTGATACTTATGTATTATCGCAACAATTGCCAACTCTATGTACATTTGTTTGTACATTTTATTTACAAAGATGCACACACACACACAGATATATATATATATATCATTGTAAATAAAATGTACTCTAATAAACTTAATTTTGTTGAATATATGCAATATCCTGTAATACGAAAAAGTATTTCAGTTCGCTCAGTTTTGTGTTAAAGGATTTTCACTATACTTAATTCTAAGCTATTTTACGCTTAAATGTCTATACATAATTAATTTTTTTTCCATTTTATCTCCAGAAAAATTAAATAACGTTGTGAGAATAAATCCATATTGTTTTTATTACAATCAAAATTTATTTTAATGATGTATTGTGGGAAAAAAAGATATTGCGATTCTTCGATCTTTATGGGTTACTTAAGTTCTCAATCAACACTCCAATCTTGCATATTTATTTATTACATTTAATTTAAAGAGCTCAAACGCGTGCATATAAACACACCTAATTGAAATTAAACTCTGTATTTAAACACTACAATACACTTGTAAAAGAGAAAAATGTCCCTTTTGAGATAAATTATTCTTAAATTACTTCATTATTTGTAGAATCAAAGCATGTAAATTTTCCAAGCTCCGTAGTTTTGCCTTTCTTCTAATTAGGTTAATTTTTATATTAAATATTTATAGAAATTATTCTAAAATAATTTGGTTGAAAATAGCAGTATTATTATACCTAATCCAATTGACAGTACTTTATGTATTTGTGATAACTTTAATTGGTTTAT